CTGTTTTTGAGTGTTTTAACTGAGTATATCATTCAACTAACTAGTTTTCCTCTCAAAATCATCAATCTAAACATTCAAGTATTTAGAAATTCTCTTTAAACTTACCTAGGGTTCTCTTCCTCATCAAGAACTCTAAAACATTCAAGTAAAAAATTCAAGATACAAAGAGAAGCCTTCAACCCAAGGTTTTCCAAAATTCTTCCACTCTAGAAACTCCATAAAAGAATTTATTTTATCAAGATCAAGCACCAAGATTCCAAGACCAAAGATTTCATCCAAGAAAGGTAGTGTTCTTACTCGAGCTCAAGAAAAATCAAGCCTCCGTCAAAGTTTTCGATCTAATAGCTTCATAATCATATATGTAAGACTATCATAGTGTTGGACTAGTTCGTCCTCACGCCCTACGTCTACTTTCTAGCAGTAAAAGAGTAATCTAGGGTTCTATCCTTAGTTTTGAGTATTCTTGAGATGAATTTGATGTTGAGTTCTGAGTTCTAAAATTCTGATTTCGAATTTCTATTCCTAATTGTTGAGTTGTTGTATATCATGTATTGAGATCTTGAGTTTATTGTTCATGTCTATTTTCCAGCATGAACCTTATTATTGAGTTATTTATTTAGAAATCCTTTTAACCAATCATTGTCTTAAATTAATTTCTGAGAAAATAAAGAAGAGTTTTGGGTAGAGTTTGAAGAGATGCTTAGAGAGAGAGTATAAGGGAAGTAAGTATTTCCCAAATATATCATTTTTTAAAGTGAGAAAAGAGAAACTTTGATATCTAAATGAGTTTATGAGTTCAGAGATATTTGAAAGCATTACCTCTTTTAAGAGGATCTTTTGAGTAATTACCTCAAATTGAGAAAGAGAATGTTTTTAAACATTGAACATGAGTATATATTTATTGGGAGTAGTATTGAGAACGTAGCTCATAGTGATGGTCTTCGGTTAGAGAATCTCCCAAATAGAGTTAAAATTGTATTTTTATTATATCACTAATATGTTGAGTTCAGAGATGAGTGAGTATTTTTGTAAAGTTTTAATGATTTCACTCTTTTATTTCTTTACATTCAGTTGAGTATATATTAATATCTATTGCAGTCCTTTCATTCAGTTATTTTTAATTCAACTATATTACATACTTATACGTTCAACATAGTGATGTCATTCAACTTGCATCTTTTAATGATGCAGATACATGCACTTAGAATCCTCAACAAAAGTCCATTGAGATCACTTTATCTGCTCGTTAGCTTTTGAGTGAGACCTCTTTGCTTCCGGAGGACTCCAATTTTGTGAATTATTAGTATTAGTTTTTGAGAAGTCGTGTGTCTTGTCCCGACATTCATCTTTATACAGTTTAGGCTTCATAAATTAACAATTTTAGAGAGTCTCTCAGTGTCAGAGGTTTCCTTCAAAACTTATATTTAATACTTAGTATATTTAGAGAGTTTTGAGATTTAATACACTGTTGATTTAACATTTCTTTCAGTTCGATGAACCAAGTTTCTATTTCGTTATTCTATAAAGTTGCTGGAATTTCTACTTTTTCTAGTGAAATTATAATTGTTGCTATCACATTATTTAACTCTTTGAAATTTTTTATGCATTAATATAACTGTATTGTTGGTTGCCAAATTTTCACGGTCCGATACTACACCTTAAAATGTACTAATGTGCTTAGAATCATAAGTGATCCAAAACTAACCATTGATACTGACACAAGTCATAAGAAACTAAATCTAAATATGTATAAGAGCTAGAAACGACTTAACGAAAGCATAGTTATGGAATAAACTAGTTCAATACATTTACTAAATAAAAGTTTATTTATAACAACTGTAATCTGAAAAGAATCTACAACTATGTAGACTGAATACAACAACTTTAACCGACTGCCAATGAAGCCTCTACTAATATTGAATATAGGTAGTTGAGACATGTCCCCCTGTTTTCCTTAATCAATACATATGAGCAGAAATAAAATACTGATTGACTTGAGTCCTTGAATAAATAGAACTCATCACTTGCTGGCTGGAAGCTGTGATATATTTGACTAGGATCCTGATAATAAGCACCTGAATCTACATCACATGAAAAGTGTAGTTAGAAGAGGTATGTAATTAGTATTTTGAATGTACTGAGTATGTGAAATATGCACTATATTTATAAAGTTGAGCATGATGTATCTGAGATGTTAAACTGAAAGAAATCTAATATCTAGTATATAAACATGCAATTGATCAATACTATTGAATAAACTGAATACAAGGTCATACAATAGAATAAACTGAATATAAGGTTATACAATATCTAAATCTGAATAGTAGGAGATAGTAATAATTGACATACTCTATTTGAACTAAATAAAGTTCAGTTTATACCTCAACTAGAAGGGCGCTCTGTATCTTGTCAAGAGTAAGAATACTGATGACGTAAATCTACTAAACTAATGTCCAAAAGGATTAAGGTGTCCAACTGATATACCGTGAGTTTACAGTATTTCTAATACATTTCACTTACAAGTTGTGTGTGTCTAGGGCCTTTTTATATTGGTTTTTATGTGTTTTTATCATGTTTTGTAGGAAAGATGTTCAGGCGCGGAAGTATAGAGACAACTGAAAGAAATGCAGAAACAGGGCATTCATGGAGGTGATCTACGGACCGTAGGTCCATTCACGGTCCGTAGGTGATAACCGTAGATCAGCAGGCATGATATTGAGGACAAATCAGGGAAATCTGACCAAGTGTGGAACCACGGTGTCCATTGACGGTTCGTAGATTGATCTACGGACCGTACTGTTGATCCGTAGAGTGATACTGCGAGGATTCCAGTACCTGATCTTTGAAGGTTCTAAGTGTGGAGCTACGGAGGGGATTGACGGACCGTAGATCGATCTACGGTCCGTACTGCTAGTCCGTCGTTTGCTTCAGAGAAGCTAATTTTTGGAAGCGAAAATATTTTCTAAGTCCTGGCTGACGGAAGGGACTTACGGACCGTAGATCCATCGACGGTTCGTAAGTCAGTCTCGTGGATTGAAAACGCGTACCTGAACAAACTTTCCTTAATTTGTTTCCCTTTTAATTTAGGATTTGTTTTCAATAAATAGGGCATGTAAACCTCGTTTTTGGGGGTTAGACATTATTATTCTAGTTTTACTTTGTGACTTTGGGAGATTAAGTTGCAACCCTAGCAATTATTGATTTCCTACAGTCGTTTTGAAGATTTTGGCTTTGCAATTCAAGTTGAAACTCTGGGTTTATTATTATCGTTACGTAAGTTCATGATTTCTTCATCTAATATTATGAATTGTGTTCTTGCTAATATGGGTAACTAAATCCACAACTAGGGTTGTGGGAACTATGAGCGATTAACAAAGTATGAATAATAAATAAGTAATTCTTGAATAGTGTTTTGCATGCATTGATAATTCTTTTGTTTAAAAGTCTTTTTAACGAGTGCACGCGTTAGAACTCGCCTTGTTGCTACTTGCCCGAATCA